TGGTTTGCAGATGTCACTTCATGCTTGACTATCTCCTGGTGTGTCTTCACACCAGCTTCCCTCTATGCATGTCTGTCTGTGTCAAAATTTCCTCTTCTTATAAGAGCATATTGAATAAAAGTCCAATCTAATCACCTCATGTTAAATCCATGATCTCTATTTTCAAATAAGGTCACAGTTGAGGTATGAAGAGTTAGTACTTCATATCTTCTTGGGTGTAGGAAGACACAATTCAATTCAAACAACACCAGAGAGAATTTCAGTGAAAGATTTGGAGTGTTGCCTTCCTGGAATTTACCCAATTACTTGAATTTACAAGATAAACTTCTTAATTGTTTAAGTCAGTGGAAGTCAACCTTTCTGCTACTTCTATCCAAAGCCTTGTGGCAGGATTATGCAGGCATTTCTGATGGGAAAAGGTAAGGACAATGACCAAGGGGATCCTGGAATGAACAGTAGAAGAAAGAATCCTGCACTTTGAGCCTGACTTGGGAGAGGGTCATAAGCATTTGTTTAGGCTCATGTTAACTGTCCTTCATTTAAAATCCTGTTTACTAGCTATCTCCTTCATTTCATCTTGTTTTGGATCTTTGACATGTGCTATTTCTGCTGTGAGACATGACCTAGTAGGTACAGCTCAGGATCTTGGCTAGACACTGCAGTCACCAACAGATTATGTTTCACAGTGTTAATGCCTCCTGCATCTGGGTGTCATTAAGTCTGCAGGAAGGTTGCAATTTGCCCCCACTCCCCTCCACCAATGCTTTTCCTTCCAGGTATGGATTGACAAAAAGATGCTTATCCATAGTTCTCAAGAAACATTTTCTGACTAGGTAACCAACATTCAGTGTACTTTCCAGGACACATGTGACCCTGATGGGTAAGTATTGAGAGAGCTGTAGAGAGCTACAAATTCAGCTTTCAAGCTGTGTAGCTTTGGGTAGGCTATCCATACTCTCTTAGCATCAGTTTTATTACCTTCAAATAGGGCTGTTATCGATCAAATTTATAGATAGATGACATTATCATTTTAAAAAGGAATGAAACTTGACAGAGTCAGTGTCACCCAAGATCACACACACCTAATTGGCAGTGCTTAAGAATGATTCTAAAATCTATGCATTTGCCCATTACCCAAGTGTAAAGAAATGAACTAAAAGTAACTTTAGGGTCTTTTGGGCACACCAGCTTATGAATGCATGGGTCAAATTCTGGCAGGCTTTTGTGACTCCCTTCCCATCTGTGTAACCACATGGTTTTGTTTCTCTTTAGGGTCCTTCTACCATCTGAGTACTGTTGATGCTTCATCTGGGCAATACTGGACTGGGCTCCTCCTGCCTCTGCCTGATGGCTCTTCTCTGTCTGGTGAGTGCTTTTCCCATCTTACACAGCTTCCACTGCTTATTTTCCTGCATCATTCTATGACCAGCCTCCAAGGCGGCCTGGATTAAAGTAAAAAAAACAAATCAGCTAAGGGTGGTGGTGCATGCCTGTAATCACAGCTTCTCGGGAGGTAGAGATAGGAAGATTGAACTCTGAGGCTGGCTGTAGCAAAAGGCTAGCAAGACCCTTTTCAAAAACAAGTCAAGCATAGTGGCTCATGCCTGTAATCGGAGGTAGAGATAGAATGATTGAAATTTGCCTGGGTAAAAATGCAAGAACCTATCTAAAAACAAAACCAAAAATAACCTTAAAAAAAAAGAGAAGTAAAAGGCTGAGTATGTGTGTGGCCCAAGTCACAGAGTGCTTGCCCAGGAAACATGAGACCCAGAGTTCAATCCTCAATGTGGAAAAAAAAGGAAATAAATAAATAAATAAAGACAAGACAGTCTGAACAACTGCTGATTTTTCCAGTTCCTATTTACTTTGGAGCATATCAAAAGTAAATAAGTATTGCAGAAAACGTGCCTTCCAATGTGCTGTGCTTTGGCTAATTCTATAAATAACAGACCTACCTCAAGCACTGAACCACTGGGAGAAAGGAATGAGCTGAGACCCCCTCCCCCGACCCCCAACCACCACTGCAGAGGAGTGCTGGAGAGAGCTGTCATGTGTTTTTAATCCTCTTTCCTCAGGCCTCCCTATCAGGCAAGTACTACCCAGGGGTGGAGATTTCTTTGATTAGTAATGATAATGACTCCCTTTTATAATTGGAGTATTTTGAACATTTCTTATAAAATGTGATTATTTTTTCAGGGATTTAACTTTCAATTACACTTATGTGCAAGGAGAAATCTAGCCCTCCTTGTCACTTCATACGTTCAGGATGTCAACATTGTCAGCTGCTGAATAACTGATTAGGGGCCTTAATCTCTGAACTGCTTTCATTAAGATAGTTGAGTAATCAGGCAGAAAGGCACAACTGAGTCACTGGAGAGCTGAAAATGTAATACGACTTGATTATTCCTATGGCTGGAAAACACAGCAAATCTAAAGGGGCCCAGTGAAGGACAGATCTGGAAAGCAGCCTTGTCTTTAATACAGATAACAATATCACTAACTTCAAATACACTGTGCAAGGTATCATGGAACCTTTTAAAAATGCTTTATAAGCTCAGTTGTGTTGTTTTTGTGTATTATTCAATACACAAAGTATGCGAGAAAAACCACCTAAATGTTTTTGTGACAAAAATATACCTATACATACCTATATTTTGAATGTGAAAAATAAAATCTGGGAGAATAATTTGTCCAGTGTCATACAGCTATACAGCACAGGGAAGTGAAATTGGACCTGTGTGGCCAGACATGCAGACTTGTAAGTGCAAGTCTTTTCACAAGAGCCCACAGCCATATTCACAAAATTCCAGTGTTTCTGAAAATTCTCAAAGGTTCTTTAAAAAAAATAGTTCATTTAACAGCAAATCTGATCTGACTTATGATTTATATATTGTCTTTATCCTTTGATGTTGTGGTTTGCTATGCAAGTCTTCACAGTGTCTACAGCCTACAATGTTTGTGTTGAATTAGATTGGAAGGAAAGGTGGACAGTTTTACTGTGTGAAAGATGGCCATCTGCTCTTTTGATTTACTCAGTGAGGGAGCAGACTAGGAGAAGGTGGGCTTCATGGCTTGGCTTTCATCTTTGCTTGCATCTCTCCATACCTGGAGGAAGAGCTGACCCACCTGTTGAAAAGTCCCATTCCAAGTCAAAATCCTATGTGTGATCTTTCAAGCCAGACCACTGGCAATGACAGGGCTTTGCCTGGGTTCCCTCCCCATTCTGGACTTGGTGTGCAGCCTGGGCATTATGGTTTTTGGAGGATGCTGCAGCGAAGAACTCAGGTCCCAACCCACCTGGCCAGCTATGCTCATGGGCTCAGCTGCATCCCTAGCTCAGCTGCCACCATTTGGAGGCCTTCTTGCTGGGAGTCCAGCTGAAGTCCTCTTCTCCATTCTGCCTCAGTAATTCCCTTGCCTGGGCCATAAAAGGGCAGGAGGACTGCTGAGAAATGAAAGGATTCCCTGCCCCTCACTACCACAGACACCCACATGCTTGTCCCATGTTGTTTGGTGGGAAAATGGAACATAGTCTGCTGCACCTACTTCTGCAGCTTGCTCTGTGCACTAAGTGAACAAAAGCTTGAGTGTGACTTGCACTTGTTTATTGTCTTTATAATTGACCACCTCAAAACCTGGCAACACCAACATTTGTCCCAATCTTATGCTTTGGATATGGCCTTCTTCCCCTCCCTGAGAACACTTTGCCATTGTCCAATTTATGGTATATATCTTTAACCTCACTCTCCACTTGCTCCCTCATCACAGTTAAACAGATTACACTTTCATCCAGCTTAAGTTCCTTGGTCCTGTGTCTTCCTGTCATCATAGAATGTTTTTCTCATTTACTTTTACTCAGAATTTTAGTACACGTGCCCATGACCTGGGAGAGTCCCCTTACATTTCATTTGGCTACATCCAACTGTTCTTCAGTAACCAACCTTTTCAACAAACTTTCCTGGACTTTTCCATCCTAGTCCTGGGCTTTTCTCTGGGTTTCCAGGTACCTCATGCCTACCAAATCAAGGACAGGAGAGTCTAATGTTGATTTACTGGTTACTCCCTTCAATGCAGAGTTTCTTGAGAATTGGAAACTTAATGATGCTTATGCCCTTGGGATGACCAGGATTTCATGGCTCTTTATAGGCACTTGACTCAGGCTTGGGGATGCATATAGAAGGATGTCATAGTCCAACACTCATAGCTAATATAACAAATTTAGCATAAATAAAAAAAATCCAATATATATCTATTAGTAGAGACCATTTTTCTTTCAAAGCTTAACTTCAAAAAAAGTCTTATGCTATATTTACACTAAGATTATTCTTCCCATAGTAACCTTACTATTTAAACTTATGATTAGAATATATACACACTTTGTCTTGGTCACTGTATTTTTCAAGATTCTAAGTCTACATGAGATTAAATTTCTGAAACTTTCCGAATAGGGGCTGAATTTTCTACACAAGTTCTATTATGAATTGATTGATTTTTTTAAAACTTCCTTAGTGAATTCTAATGAGAATGTAGAGATATGAACTAGATGATCTTCTAAAGATATTTCAATTTGAAGACTATGAATTTTATAATATTGAAAATCCAAAGCTTCCTTTCAGATTATGCCTGTCATAAAATACATGAACTCTAAAATATGTTTGAAAAATGTTACCTCTCACAAACACAAAAATGGACACTTTAATTTAGAATTCTGCTATATTGTGACTTATAGGTGTGAAGGGCCCTCGCTTCCATTTTCCTCTTTTTTGGCATCTTATATTATTTTCAGAATTTTAGAATGGATGTATACTCTGGCAATGCTGAAAATGTACTCAAGCACCTGTACCCTGCAGAAGAGACCATTTTAAACATTAAAATTTATTTACCTCAAGTTATCAAAAATGCAATAATCAGTTTAAACCATGGCTAAGGTGAAATCTGATGTTAACCATTATTAGTAAAATAAGAGGAATGACTTAACTGACTGTGTTTTTAATTCTTACCCTTGGAAATGTTGTAAATCTGTCCAGTTCTTCAACAAAGCAGAACATCTGTAAACTGATCGCTGACATGACAATCAGAAGGCTGGCGGTGAACACAACTAAACTCCCAAGCTTCTTTCCAGGACCAAATATCTTGTACACAAAGTCTTCTAATGCTGGAGAAATCTTAATAAGCCGAACTACCCGAAGAACCTATCATGACAGAGAAAAACATACAGATCTGATCATTTATTTACAGTGAATAGTAAAGAAGTCCACTTTAAAACATCATTTTTCATAATATCCTATAAAAATAATATTTTTCCATTTCAGCATCTGGGGACTAAAAATTAAAATAGTAACTGAGATATTCCTGTAACTCAGTGCCTCTCACATAGCAAGAAAATGATAAATCCTAAATGAATGAATGAAGACAAATGATAGTAACTAAATGTTATACAACGTGAACATTCAACTGTTATAACTAGTACATACTGTTGAAACAAAGTAGACAGTTTCCTAATGATTGGATACCTAGGAAAACATTTAATTCAACATTAGTTATATTTAATGTCTCATAAAACAAACCTTCCTAGGTATTTCACATTCAGAAAAAAGTGGGAAAAAATCAAATTTCAATCAAGGAGACTTTTACTCCTGGCTCAGACTTCTACCCATCTTCTACCCACCTAATAGAACTTTCTGAACTTTAGCCTAGCCAGAGACTCCCTAGAAGCCACAGATGCTACTTTCCAGTCTTTGCACCTGCTTTTTGCAGCCACATGTGTCCTGTGAGCTAGGCTTAGGCTTATGGGGTATGAAAAGAAGTAATTTGTGCAGCTTAGGTATGTTAAGTTAAACTTGCCCTGTGTACACTTTTTATGCCTCTTCTGGCATAGAAATGGGAACAACTGGAGTGGCACCTCTGGACCAGGAATAGAAGCCTTGTAAAGATATGACAGGGCTGATCCAACATAGCAGGCTGGCTTCCTGGATGACCTTAGGGAGCAGAGGCACTTGCTTTCCTGGACACACACCAAGTATTGAAGAGAAACAAGCTTCTATCTTACGTAAGCCTTGTATTTTTGGATCTTTGCTTTATCTGCTTACTTTGTTATCTTTGCTCTCTACATAGATATTATATATAATACATAGATTTATTTAGGAGTTTGCATGTGTATTTTGCAAAAAACCCCCACCCACAAGTAATTAATAAATTGATTTCTGAATTAAATCATTCAAAAAGTATTGATCATGTGACAAACATTGTGTTGGAAAAATGTGATTTTCAGGGCATAGTTATATGATTAAAAAGTATAAATTTTTGTGTAAGTTGAAGTATACAACATGGAAAGATGTCATTTTTTCACTAAGTCATCAATTTCTTTATGTACCTGTAAGGAATAAAAAATTCTGCCAATGAATATACAACACAATATTGATTATAATCAATAATAAACAAAGATCCAAATTTAGAGATATGAAATCAGAAAACTGTGTTCTTGGCATAAATGAAACATGGTACATATAAGGGTAGTCCAAGGTGGCTAAGTGTCAAATAGGAGACTAAGTTGTCTGTAAAAGATGAACACTTACGTAGAATATAGCTAAGAATGGAAAATGCATTTAGAAAACTAGTTTTTAATTTTACATTCAGCATGCTTGTTTTGACCTTTCCAGCATCCCTGGCTTCCTACTCTACTGATTTTCCTTAGGTGAATCATTCCTGTTCCATTCTTACTTCATGAGGTCTAGAAGGGATTCCCCAGCCTCCATGACACAGTCCTGGCTCAAGGATTCACAATGAGTTGAATTGTCCTCAAGACTTTTGGTGGGCACCTTCCATGAGAGGTGATCTTTATTTTATTCCCATTTCTACTTTTTAGTCATGGTGGGTGTTGTTTTAAGAAACATGTAAGGTTTGAGCTTCTGACAGCCATCTGTGTCAACCACATGAAGCAAGTCAGTTTAAGAATGAAGGAAGGTGAGTAAAGAAATGGAATTCTATTGACACCAGGCATCATTTTAGCCTCTGAATTTTACCCTATGAAGCCACAAGACTCTGAAGTCCCTGGTCTTTGATTTAACAGGAAGTACTGTTGGAGAACCCCATGATTCCTACTGCTTACAGAGCACCAATGCATGGCTTGTAGAAGCATGTGAAGTAACGCAATTGTATAAATGACTGAAGAAGCTGTCAAGATGCTTATTTACAAACCCAACACTTCAGAGGATATTTATACAAAAAAATCAAGTGTTTGAATTAAGCATATCCCCTGTTTTAGCTATGAATTTTCCTGCTATAATTCTTAACACACATTCTGAAATCAGGACATGTTACACTGGTCTTTCCAAATAAAATGGCCTGATCATAAGAACTATTAAAATACTAACTTTATATTAATATTCAGACGCATAACCTGGCAAGATTTCACATTTTTATCAGATTTATCTATTCTCAGACAAATGATTCAGTATCTAACTGTAAGCTGCTGAATCTGGGTAGGTTTACAGGGACAATTTAACTAGTTTCTTGCACAGATTTCAGTACTCTATGTTTTCCTCACTTTTATTAAATCCATATTTAAAAGACTGTCTAAATAATTTTGAATCACATCCTAGATTCTCATATAGACAGCATATTACCTGCACAGCTGTGACAAATCAATATTTTATAGACTTAAAGAAACAGAACTTAACTCCCACACTGATGATTTGGTCAGCATTTTCAAAGGGTTAAACTCACATTCACAGAAAAGACAAATCCTGACCAGTGAGTCTAATTGTGCCTTTTTACTTATTGGTGGATAAGAATGCCTCTCACTTGTCTTCTAATCAGGACTTTTGCTTTTGTGTTTTATACATACAAAATAAACATGGTCTCAAAGATGAGTGCTATAGAACATTTTGTGGTTGTTTCCAGAGCACGTTCTCCTGGTCACATTTCTAAGTCTGTCTCTTGATGATCACTCAGTTGCTTTCATAGTGAGATGCTGTAGAAACTGTAAGATTAAAAATATGAACTCTGATGACTTGGGGCCATAGATTACATGTGTATCTGTACCTCACAGGATTACTATGAGATTGTTATAGCAAATGGAACAACACAGTCAGCACAGTGCCTGATAGGCAGTCAGTGCACAATACACACCAGCAAACTGCATCATGACTGCACAGGTGTGAGAGACCCATTACATTTTATAGGACTTCCCATTTTCCATGCTGCCTGGTGCTCACCAAGGCCAGCCATAATGGCTTTGAATTTGTTAACTTTGCTCTCACCTCAGGCCGTGGGCAATGGGGTTTTCTCTACCTGGAATACCTTCCTGCAGAGCCTTTCATGGGTTTGCTCTTTCCAACTTCATTCTGTCTCTGCTCAAATGAAATCTCTTCGGAGGGCTTCCATGAGAAACTTATCGAAAATAGCCCTCACCTCACAATCACCACCCTTTTTACAATGCTCGTTTCTTCCTTAGAGCATTTCAAGTACTTGTATTGAACATTCCTTTGTGTACTTTGTGAACTATTTCCTCTTTAGAATTTAAGCTTAATAGGGTGGGGACCATTTCTGCTGTCCACAGCTTCATCCTCAGTATCTGAAATGGGGCACAGTAGGAACTCATGAAATATATTTGAATAAACACCAATAATTAATCTCAGTGATAAATGAGATTTTAAGGGGGGCCATTTCATACGAAACAGTTTCCTTCATTTAAATATGAAAAATACGATGTTGAATAAGGAAAGACTGCTAACACGATGAAGAAAGGTTGATTGAAATGAGAAGTGTGAGGGTCAATAAGGGAAGCCAAAGCGGGCCCAGAAAGGGCTACTCTTTGTCTAGTATAGTAGATTTTCTCCATGTGAATTCATAAAAATTCTTGTGACACATAAGATTTTCAAGAGATTTGCTCTTCAGACATAAAATATCTGAGGTTATTTAAACTTACTTCATTAAAAATATGAATTTGGCCAGGTATAGAGAGACAAATAAAAATCACTTGTCATGAACATAAACTATCACAAATTCAAATCCAGAATCAAATACATTAAAATTGTGGAATTGACTATGACTTGACTATATGTATGTATCTATAAAATGGCTAGACCCTGCAGACTAACCTAAGTTTGTGAAAAATACTAGAAGTAAATCATTAGAGACGAGGACAAGAACATGAAACTGGGGATGACTGATTATTTGCAGTACGATGATTGATTTCTTTCCAGTCACTTTTCCTTTTTTAGGTATTTACATACACACGTTTGTCTATTTCTCATTCAACTAAATCGTATTCCTCAGTTAGTATAAATTAATCATAATCATCATTTTATGGTAAGATTTGCACTATGACTTACTAAGCTATTCCTCAACTTATACTTGTTAAACGCTTCATGTATTTTCTCTTATAAAGAATTTCATGAATAGTTTTGTGCATATGCTTTTGTTATCTTCTAGCCTTGTACAAAAATTATCAGATAGTTTAGATAGTAAAGCAATTTTAAAGCCTGGATTATATTTAAACTGTAACTTTGCTGAAATAGTAAACAGTGTGTCCCTTCAATTTCTGAATTTAACAGGTTTTCAAAAAAGATACATCCTCTGTGTAGAGGCATAGCCTCTATAATTTTGTACCCTAAGGTAGATACGAAAAACTCATGATGATTTTTCAAAGAGCAGTTATTGACATGCATGTTTGGGGTTAGGTTTTCTTTAAGGGAGGAAGGATTTATTTTGGCTCTTGGTTTCACAGGTGTCAATGCCCTGTGTCAGGGAGGGTGGGGCAGGGTAGAGAAGCACTGCTCACTTCGTGGCCACCAGGAAGCAGGAGAGAGAAAGAATGCCTGTGCTCTCCTCTTCCTTTTTATTTCTCCTCTTCTCCCTTTTTATTTCGTAGGCCCCCACATTTAGGTTGTTGCCCACATTCAGATAGTCTTTCTCCCTTAGTTAATCCTCTCTGGAAACACCCTCCCCTCCGTTTCACCCCAGAGGTGTTCTTTACTAATCCCCTAGGTGCTTGTTAATCCAATCAAGTTGACAATCAAGATTAACCATTAATGCACATTGTTATAGAGAACTTTAAGCATGTTTATAAGTCTTGTCCAAGCCATCTCACCAGTGGTATCTAAGCTCAGCAGATAACCCAACCAACGATGAGGGATTTATGCCCAGAAATGTTAGGGGCAGTGGCACCTTGAGCCATGACAGTTTGCGGTGGTATGCTTGCCTTGATCACTGGAGGCTCAGCTTTTTGTCTGGAGTGCGGGGTATTTGCTTTCCAATTTCTGTGATCTGTATTTTCTTGTGCTTTCCTCCATTCCTGTACTGAGTCACCAGTTGTGATTTAGCTGCTAAAGTTCTAAAAAATGATAGCTTTGGTATACCAATAACTAAAATCAATGACATTGGAATGCATTATCTTTTTCTAAGGATTTAGGATCCTATTTCTCTAAATTAAAAAGCACAGGCTGGTGTATTCATCATAACTTTTATAAATGACAAAATATGAGACAGAAAAATGATGATAAAAGAGATGTTCTTGAGTAGGATTCTACATAAACATATTTTGTCATTTTAATCAAGAATTTAATAGATCAATAAGCACCTTTCTATCACCTAACAATTACAATGAATGTAAGCAACAATTAGTGTTTATTGAGCAATTAAGCAACATGATTTAATATATATATATCACATTTGAAGAGACAGATATCTAATTATTGTAAAATAAGAAGTATAACCACCATTATTTAATCATTACAAAAAGAAATAAGCCCTTAAATAATAATGTACAACCAATTAAAATCTATAAAGGTAGATTTTATAAATCCTTATTATTTCCATTGTAAATAATTGTTGAGCAAGGATATTTTTAAGAGAGATATATACTTGGAATTAAATTCATATTTTATTCACTAAAGTTTGTGCCAACAGCTTACCTGGCTTAAACGTTGCTGTTTATGTAGATATATGTTATCCATATGTGTTCAAATATGTATATCTATATACTGCTAATTTTGAAACAGTATGTTAAACTGCATTTGCTACTGTGAATTTTCAGGAGTTTAAAAGCAATTGTTATGACATAGTGTATAAATGCACTATTTCTTCCCAAGTTCATATTTACTAGATAATATATATATAAAATGTGGTTCTATATCATAGTTATAATAAAATGACTACTATTTACTATGGAAAGAAAAAAATTAAAGACAGATAGCATTATTTGTATTACCTGAAAGTATGTGAACTGAGAGTGATAAAGATCTGGGTACACATGAAGAGTAGTTCCAATGACGAGCAGTAGCTCAAATTTGTGGAGAGATGAGCTAATATATCCAGTAAATCCTAAGCACCATATCTTCAGAAGTGCTTCCAGATCAAAAAGGACGGTAAAAGCCACCTAGAGGAACAAAGAGACCTTAACATTGATATGCCAAGGTATAATTTTTTCAAATTATTTCACATATTAATCAGCACATAAATTTCAGTTAGTACTATATAAGCTGAGGAGCCCCATAAGATCAAGAATGACATTTTTTAAAAAACATAGGTTTAACTCTTGGGAATATACCCAAAACTGTGACACAGGTTACTCCAGAGGCACCTGCACACCCATGTTTATTTCAGCACTATTCACAATAGCCAAGTTATGGAAACAACCAAGATGCCCCACCACTGACGAATGGATTAAGAAAATGTGGTATCTATACACAATGGAATTTTATGCAGCCATGAAGAAGAACGAAATGTTATCATTTGCTGGTAAATGGATGGAACTGGAGAACATCATTCTGAGTGAGGTTAGCCTGGCCCAAAAGACCAAAAATCGTATGTTCTCCCTCATATGCGGACATTAGATCAAGGGCAAACACAACAATGGGATTGGACTTTGAGCACATGATAAAAGCGAGAGCACACAAGGGAGGGGTGAGGATAGGTAAGACACCTAAAAAACTAGATAGCATTTGTTGCCCTTAACGCAGAGAAACTAAAGCAGATACCTTAATAGCAACTGAGGCCAATAGGAAAAGGGGACCAGGAACTAGAGAAAAGGTGAGATCAAAAAGAATTAATCTTGAAGGTAACACACACGCACAGGAAATTAATGTGAGTCAACTCCCTGTATAGCTATCCTTATCTCAACCAGCAAAAACCCTTGTTCCTTCCTATTATTGCTTATACTCTCTCTACAACAAAATTAGAGATAAGGGCAAAATAGTTTCTGCTGGGTATTGAGGGGGTGGAGGGGAGAGGGAGGGGGTGGAGTGGGTGGTAAGGGAGGAGGTGGTGGCAGGGGGGAGAAATGACCCAAGCCTTGTATGCACATATGAATAATAAAATACAATAAAATGAAAAAAAAAACCCCAAAAACCCCAGAGGTTTAATAAAACCTATTAAACCTATGTTTAATAGTAGACCAAAGCTATCTCAGAAAATTGGAGAAATGTCAAAATTTTGAATATTTGTGATTTGTGATTTGTTTGCCTACTTTCTATTTTATAATGTATATGCTATGTTATAAAATTGCTAATTACAGATTACTAAACATAATTAAGCTAGAATGAAAAAGTTAAAATATCATTGACACCTGTATACTTTAAAGCACATAAAAAGCAAAAAAATTGGACTTCTATACAAAGTAATTTATGTGTATGCACATGTTAATTAATAAGTGAACACAATAATAGAATATGTTGTCAATTAATAAATAATCAATATTAGTTTTTAATATTCATTCAACTATCTAATCTCTCATATATTCTGAGTTTACTATTATGAATAACAATATTATAAAATATATACATACAGATAGTATGTTATTTTCCTTTACCTGTCCTATGAATGCTCATTTTATAAAGGAGGCTGTAACTGGAATTAAAATAAGTACATTAGATTACCTTCTGATTAAAGAACAGGGTGAGTGTTGGGATTAGTTGTAACATGTCCTTCTGAGAAGACAGCACACAATGTATTAGAAAACAGGAGTAAAGGACAACTTTATTTTTCAGGTCACTATTGAGTATCAGAAGTAATTTTTCCTCCACTCATCCTTGGGAAATGGAAATGTAGTAATAGCTTGTTAAGAAACCGACCATTAAAAGCAATGCAGCTGGTTAACTTGAACACGGGAGGGACTAGCATTACTTCTGAAGTCTACCATATCTGTAGGTTCTATTAGCTTTTCATTTTTAGTAAAACACACGAAAACAACACATTTTAACTTTGAAATAATCCTAAGTGCACAAGAACATGTTAATGAGTGCCTTTGTTCACCTTTCTCAGGTGTTGGTGTTGACATGTTTCTGTTCTCTCTCCTCAGTTGTCTACACCCTCATGCACACTTGCAGTCACAGAAACCGGCTTCCGTTTTATATCACACTTTGCAACTTGCTTTCTCATTCACAGTCATCTCACACCTACTCTTTTTATCAGCTTTATAAATGCCCAGAGTGTTCACCACGTGTTTGACTCAATGTTCTCCCTACTCTTCATTGATGGGTGGTATTTGAAGGATTAATCAGGGAAGATGGTCATTTTCCTACTCCAAAAATAAGGCTGTCCTAGCCATCCCTCTGCATATCAGTATTTACTGAGGTTTTTTATGTTCCCTCCCTTCCTTCCTTCCTTCCCTCCCTCCCCCTCTCCCTCCTTCCCTCTCTCCCTCTCTCCCTCCCTCCCTCCCTTCCTTCCTTCCTTCCTTCCTTCCTTCCTTCCTTCCCTCCCTCCCCCTCTCCCTCCTTCCCTCTCTCCCTCTCTCCCTCCCTCCCTTCCTTCCTTCCTTCCTTCCTGCCTTCCTTCCTTCCTTCCTTCCTTCCTTCTTCCTTCCCTCCCTCCCTCCCTTCCTCTTTTTTTGCTGAGGTTCTTTTGTTTGTGTTCCCAAGGCAAATTCTTGCTATGTAGTCCAGACTGGCCTCTAACTTGCGATCCCCCTGTCTCAGCCTCCTATGTCTGGGACTTATAGATGTGTACCACCCTAGCTGACTTACTGAGACTTTTATATCTATAAATAGACTTCTAAACTTGGCATTGCTGGGAGCATAAACAGATTTGTATGTTTTAAAGTTTAGAAAGTATTAAGTGATCATTCTCAAAATATTTGCAGTAAATTATCTGCCTCCCAGCAGTAGAAAAGATACTTTTGTCCCAAATTTGTCCCAGCACCAGTATAATCCAACTTATTATTTTTTCAGCTGTTCATCTGTGTATTGATCACTTAGATTTAATTTTTTAAGTAATTACATTTTGCTGTTCATAACCGTGCCAATATTCTATGGTATTATTTGTCTTATCAGTTTTCAGAGTTGTTGATATTGAAGACATTAATCTCAGTCTGCTATATGTACTGCAAATATTTTTTCCCTAGTCAAGTTTGGATTTAAACTTTGGTGTCACTAGCTTTATAAGCATTATAAATTTTACATGGTTACATCTGCTTATCTTCTACTGTATGATTTTTATTTTCTTTTGCATAGAGAATAGGAATTTTAGAAGATTAGTATCTAGTCTTCCTATTTATGTTTTATATTCACATTCTAGTATTTATATTCATTTATTATAGTTATTTGGGGTATATTTTATACTCTTTAATTAAAAGTTCCCATGTAAAGTTAGACATATTTCACACGCATGTTGCACAGTGAAATGTCTGCATGTACCTACATATTTATACTTTACCATTTCTATCTACTTAGGTCCAGAGGAGAGAAAAGCTAGTGATTTCTGTACATTGATTTTTTTATACCAGCCTTGCTAGGTTTTTTTCTATGAGTTCTAGTATTTTTAAATAAACTCTCCTGTACTTTATCGAAGTATGTACATATTATAGGCAAATGAAATAAGACTTTCTTTTTAAAGATTTGTTTTTGGAGTTAATTACATTAGTACATTAGCTGTAAGAGGAGTGTCATATAGTAGTTACTAAAGTGCTAATAACCTGAACTCATAATTTGCTCCTTATTTTCAATGGAAGTTCCTTCAGCATTCATGTGTAGTGGTTGACATAGGTCTTGGTAATTAATTTCAACCATGATCAGAGACTTTCCCCTCTCTATTTTCCTTTGAGAGAGTCAAACTTCAATTCATTGATAGTAACTATGTTTATCCCTCAAGAAGACCCCAGATGGTAATGATAACCTGTTGGAACTTATTGGGTAACATTTTATGTACTTATATTTTTGTGAGGTATGATCTTGAACTATAATTTTACTTGTGTATTACTATCAGGTATGGTCAGTATTATGCTTTATCCATTATATTGTAGAGTTTTCTGTCTTTTATATGACTTGTAATTTCTTAAATGAGTATTATCAGATCTGTGAAAGTCAGTAGACTTTACTAGAAAACAACTTGAGCACAGTTCTTGTATAATGGCAGACAAAACTTTCCTATGTTGTTCACTGATATGATTACTCATCTATCAGTTTATGTTTTTACTAGAAATCATCAATTTTCTCCAGATTTTTAAGACCTGCATTCATAGAATATTTTTCCCATATAGAATTGGTTCTTTTGGAGATTTTATAAATCTAATGCTCCTTTAAGTCAATTTCTTGGCTGTCAGCCCCTAAAAGTAATGTAATTTTGAAACTCAGCCCCATTTGAGGGCAGACTATCTGACACACATGCAGTAGAGATATCTTTCAGGGCTCAAGGCAAGACAGAGGGGTTCTTTGTCATTTCCTTCTGAGGGATAAGCTTTGTTCTCCTGTCGCCTGAGTACAGAGCCCATGTGTCCTGCTGTATTGGGTTGGTGCAGGGGGGTGGGGTTCTGTCTTCTGACTTCTTATTTTGCATAAGTTCCAGCCTCTTCTGCCCTGGTCACACCCTGAAAATTGTAAGTTCAGGAACAGGTATAAAATATCCTTAGGGAAGCCACAGGCTTTGGGGCACAACTGGCATTCCAGACTCATATCATACTTAATATTTGGCCTTGAAAATTTTCCTTAATTTTTGCACATTTTGTTGAGCATTTAAAATATTTTAATGTTTGAGGGTGTTTTGTAGAGATGATTTCCAGCCACCTTTTGGCTCAACTTTGTATGTGTTTTCCACAGGTAGTGTACTAGTTGAATTCTTTTAAACATAATGAGATTTCCTATGTTTTTAAGTAGGAAAATTCAAACACTTACATTTAATGTACTGATATAGCTTCAGTACAGTATACTTGGTCTTATGTTTCCTGTTTACTATTGGTCATTGCTATTTCATCTTTCAAACTTTTCTAGCATAGTGAAATATTTGTTAATTTCTTTTCCTCATTGTTACCTGGGACATTTTACTTGGCTTTTCTAATTCCTGAATTTAATTCCCAATGGATCTAAATTAATCCACACCTTTAAATTATTACTTCAAAATTGATTTACTGGTTTACCCATCCCTCATCTCCAGTTTGCCATTCTG